GGGGAAGGGGGGACGTTGCGGACGCCTCGTGCTGCCGGCGGCGCCGCAGGGGACCTGCACGCGCTCAGATTTCCGCGCCGCGGCTCTTCCGCCTCTCCTGCGGGGAGCACAGGCGGTCCTGCCTTCCTACCAGGAGACAACCTTGACTCTTTCTAGCCAGGGGAAGCAGCCCGCAGGCCACCCAGAGCCACCTCCGTATCCCACGGCCCTTTTGCACATGGCTGAGCCGTTCTCGAGGGGCTAAGGAGGGAGTGAAGTGGCCCAAGACCACGTGCCTCTCACAAGGATACGGATCAGCCCTGTTCAATCCTCTGGGCTTCGACAAGCTTCTCCCGCCAGGAGAGGCGCTCCCCCAGGAAAACGCATCCCAGAGGGCAGATTTACTGCAGCGGGGATTGCAGAGGATTGGGCACAGGGAATGTCTCAGCAAGACCTGACCCACCAGGGGAAGAGTAACCCCCGTGCAGTAGCTCCCAGGCTTGGTGGCACTGGCACCCCTGCTTCACACGTGGCCTTGGCTCACACCCGAGCACGCAGCAATCCCGGCAGCTCTCTAGAGACAACCCAGCAGCTGAAGGAACCAGACCCTCGGAGACCATGTTCACCTCCTCCTCTCGAGCGGCGGAAGCCATCGCACCCTAGGCTGGCTCAGAGGTAGGCAGAAGCGGTCAGAACATGAAAAACACGGGATGATGGGATCTCCCAGAGGTCCCCTCTTTGTCACTGATCCTTCCAAAGACCAAAGGTCAGGTGACACATGGAGACACAACCAAAGAGAGATGTGTTTTTTCCCAGCCAGCCACAAGGGCTACAAGGCTGTGCGCCACTATCCCGTCGCCTGTAGGCACGTCTTCCCCTAACGCCAAGTCAGGGGCTGCTTTGGTTCACGTGGGCTCTCTTGATGAGGACACTGGAGAGCTGCTAGCTCAGAATGTCATCAAGAGCCTTCCCAGGGAGACGAGCACAGCCAGAGAGGTCAAGAATGAAGCAGGGATAGCGCTGTGCTCCGAGCAGCCCGACATGGCCTTAACCTTGTCTGGGGCGGACTTACAGAGCCTCGGTGCACAGCCAATGCCCCCACCATGGAGCTGGAGGCCCCTTTTTGTAAAATCCAAAGTACCAGGCCCCACCACGTGACACCTGCAAGCTCTACTTGACAAAATGCTCAGGCAGGACTTCCCTGTGCGTCTCAGAGACGTCCTGAAGACTGGATCACCACGCAAAGGGCAGTGGAGGGAAGGGCCATACATTGCATATAATGCATACAGCAAACCCACCCCCCGATCCCAACTCCGGCCTTGCACCACAACCATCACGTAGCACGGGCCGTTTTCAGGTGCTCCCACTGCCACCGTACCAAAAACCTTCCACAAAGCAGCATCTGCCCAGCTGAAATGCAGCTACGTGGTGATGGTAGCAAAATAAGCCAAGTGACTGCCCAAAATGAACACGCTGGCGCCACGCTTCTCCATAGCAGCTATCTCCAAACAGTTCTGTTGGTTGTTGACACAAAAAAATTAGACTTTCACTCAGAAGGGTTTTAAGTGCTCAAGCCAATTAAAAGGTTTAATTAAGCAATTTCTTATGCCTTTTTTTTTTTTTGATTTAAAAGCCAACCTCAGTTGCCAACTCCATCACCCCTAAGAAAAAAGGGTAAGGGCTAAAAGTAAAGGTTTATTACACTTAGACAAATCTGTTCTGATATCTTCAACCACTGCAGTCTGATGACTAAGGATTTTTATGCTCTGAGAAGGCCCTGGAACAGATACTCTACTTAGGAAGCTGTTAATACCATGGGCCAGAGAGAGCCCCAAAACTCAGGATGCTTCCAAACCTTGGAGGACATCTAGCTTCAAGTAGCAGGATCTTCACGGAAGCCACTTGCTTGGACTAGTCAGCACTGACTTTCACCCCCAGCTCAACTGCGGGCCACAAGATGAACAAGGGTCACATCAACACAACGTGTGCATTAGCTCCAGAACATGACAAGTCCTATGAATGGATCTCAAAACCCTGCCGAACAGGGCAACCTTGAAAATTCTGCCTCAAAACACCCAGCAGATCACACCAGTCTCCCAGTCCAAGAGCTCCAGTCTCCCCAGGGCATCCTACGGATCAGGACAGGGTTCTGGTCACCCCTGCCACGTTGGCTTGTGAAACACACGCACTGTGTCCCCAAGGCCACCGCGCACACCCAGAAAGGCCACAGATGCTCCAGCAACCATAAGCACAGCCCCCTCAACAGCACGCATGCTCGCTGTTCCCATAAACCACATCTAAAACTATGCATGCTCCACCTCTGTGAGCACTGTGACACAAGCAGCACAGCATGGTTTTCCCCAGATACTACACAAAGTTGGGAGACAGAGCCTGGGGAAAACCCCCAAAACAGCAAGGACCAGTACAAGGACCAGTACAAACCAGCAAGGACACTTATGTCCAGACACAGCCACTGGTGTCAGCTTCCAAAAGACAAACAACAGAAGAGTTTTGTTCCGCTCCCTTCCCCGATGATGGCTATGATTTTAGAGACCAAGAGAGACACATGAGGAATTAAGCAAGGTTGACATTATCATGAGGTTGGGGATTAACCCCTGAAGTGAGAGGGTTAAAAGACCCAAGCTGATCATGTTAATACGGCAGCTCTGGTTGACACAGCACAGGATGCAAAGCAGGGCAAATAAAACAAACATTCTCGTATAAGCTAAGATGCATCCTGTGCAAGAGACCAAACAGAACAAGGCCAAATCCACCTGGGGCAAAGAAAGGGCTCTGCCTGCTCCAGTGACCAGCAGCCTGAGCCAGAACAGGAAAGGAACAACCTCACAAATGAACGTTAGTGCCCGACATTCACCAGGAGCACAGACAGGGCCAAAAGGGCCTCGCTACAAGTGTTTCAGCCACGTGGCTAGGAGCACTTGCTGCGTCTCTCATCCCCGAGCCAAAATACACCCTGGACCCTCTTGAGGCAGGGCTGCATTGGCCGGCGTCACGTTAGCCTCGCCCAGCAAAACGAGAGGACACCAGGTCTGCAGCCACGTCACCTTGTCCGTGCCGGGGCACGACATCGTGATAAAACAAGCACACCCCGACAGCCCCAAGGACAGAGAGCAGAAGGGCAGCGGCTGCAGCTTCCTCGTGCTTGCATACCTTGACATCAGCAATGAGGGCATCCTCGTCCTCGATGCCGGTGGGGACACACTTCTTGTGCAGAGGGAGCGACTCCAGCTTGTCCACGAGGCAGCGCAGCCCCTCCAGCTCGAACTGCGTCAGGTGAACTTTCCTGCTCTTGTTTGGGCTGCCGCCGTGTGGCTCCCAGGCCTGGCCGTTTTGGGAAGCCCGGCTGGAGTCAGAGGAGTCTACAGATGGGGACTTCTTCAGAAGCGGCGGCAGGCTGCTCCGGCAGCTCCTGCCCAGTTCATCATAGTCCGCATTGGCACCATTGGCTACGGGGCTGGTAAGAACAGACCGCCTTGTGACTGGTCGCCTGGGTTCCTTCCCTGCTGCATCCTCTTCCTCCTCCTCCTCCTCCTCCTCTTCCTCCATGTTCACCGAGTCTGAAGAGCTCAGCTCCATATCTGTCGTGACAAAGAAAAGGTGAGAGGAGGGCACAGCTGCTGGGTGTTCACAAGAGACATTCGCCTTCTCGAGGAATCTCCCCAGCCCCTGGAGAGGCACTGAAGCCACAAGGAGGTACTGAGACAAGGCCAGAGAAAACGGGGCATGTGGCTGCTAGAAAACCATCGTTAAAATCTTTCCCCTCTCCCAGTTCTTTTCAAGGGAAGGATGGGTGGCATTCTCAGGAAAAACCTCTTAGAGGAGGAAACAGCAAAACCCAGGACGAGATTTTCTTTGGGGACGTCCAAGCTCTCACCTGGGAGAGATCCACTTCCTGGGAGTGATCTGAGACCTTAATCCTGCCTTTATTGTGGGAGGAAGAGGATGCGAACTCACTAGGTGGCTATGAGGGCTCTGAATCCGATTGTACGTGACAGACAGAGCGCCCTCCCCGACACTGAAAGGGAAGATGGTTGTCCCACTCCCTTCCTCCCAGATCTCTATCCTAGTTCACGTTGTTCAGCAGTAAAGAAGCAATGGAGACACCGAAAGCCTCCAGGCAAGAGAGCATAACCAGTTTGTCCCAAACCAAGAACCTAAGCGGCTGAAGGAGGATCTTGGAGATCTGCAGTAAAGGGACAAGCGCAGGGAGCTGCTTCGCTCTGCTAGGACCCTTTGGACAGAAACTGAAAACCTTGGGAAGGCTCTGGCTGTGAAGAGCAGTGCCCAGGAGCCAATGACTACACCCTTTCAGAGGTAAGGGGACAAACTTGCTTCACTGGCCTAGGGCAGAGGCTTTCCAGCTCTTTCCTTCCAAAAAGGGGTCTTTGGGACAAATCATCTCTTGAATGTCTGCACAGGCTGGTTTGCCTTGGCTGTTAGGAGGCCAAACTCTCCTCTTCTGTAAGAGCTCCTGCACTTATCTGTATCAGCACCTGCCACAGCACCTTGCACTCTGCATGCAGGAAGGTCCTGAACAGCAAGAAGGCAGCCCAGCCCCGGAGTGCAGCACGGCCCTGCTCACTGCTGCTTCCCTCGTGCTCCTCTGCCAAAGGCCCTGCCTGCACCAGCAAGGCCAGGACCTCGCGTGCTGGCTTTGGCTTCGCAGCTGCAGGGATCCGGGCTTGGCACAGGGGGAAAGGAGGAAGGGACAGTGGGACTAGTTTTGACTTTTTGCTTCGAGTCACATCACCTCCAGCCAGTGTGCCTTCCCCTCTGAGCGCTCACCACAGCGAACAGGGAAAAGGGAGGAAATAGCCAAAGAAACCACCTTGGGAAGTTAAGGAAGCGATGGTCCCAAATTCCTTCTGCACAGCCCTCCCTTGCTTGCAGTACTGCTAAGCCAGATGGTATCCCAGCAGGAAGGTGGAAAAAAGGCACTTCCAACACGTGTGAGGAAGGAGTAGGGGCCGGACAATGAGCACAGAGGGCTTACCCATACTGAGCGATTCCTTCTGGAAGTCCTTGGTCAGATGTGAGCGGCTGGTGATGCAGTAGACGTAGCGCTCCAGCACGTACCAACACATCTCATAATAGAAGGGATAACGAAATTTATTGGGGACCTGCAAAAGAGGCAAGGGAGAAGGGATCAGTTCAGGCCCCCTCCAACACAGGGTTGCACAGAAACAGCTCTTATTACCACTGCCTCGAGCCAGACTGCTCCCCTCCTGGGAGTCAGGAAATGCATGTACATGCGTAGCAGCATCCACTCATGCTTCTGGCAGTCTAATGTAATTCTCCTTGTGAAAGGATATTAGCATCAGGCAGAGCAGAGTCCAGGCACCACTTGCTTGCAAGCCACTAAACATTTCATTTTTGGATGGTGGCCCTACCTCCCCCTCCAGACCTCCTCCTCGCTAAACACAGGACAAAGCAGCCAGAGCCATGCAAGGTTTTAGCTGAAGGTAATAGCTCAAGCCCTCCTCCCAGGCCCCAGCACAGCATCCATAGGATAATATGGATGGTGGAGGGAAAGGGATGCTCCGTCAAGAGAGGAGTTAGCAGCACTGCTAAGTCGCAGGGCTTTGAGGGCTCTGTCACCACTGCAGCCTGCCTTGCACCCCCCTCCCCCCCCGGGTGACAGTGGCCACGTACTCTCAGTCTCCTTATGACTCAGTCGCTCAGGCTGGGGCTGGGCAACCGACACAGGCACTAACCAACCTGGGCAGCGCACGGCCTACCCGCCCTGCGCGCCGCAGAACCGCGCCGTAACGAGCCGCTTCGGCGAAACCAACCGCCTTGGAGCCCGGCCACGTCCTGGGCTCCTCTGCAGGCGCCAACAGCTCGAGAATGGCCTCTCGGCAGCGAGCGGCGCCGAGGCGCAGCCATCAACAGCCTTCTCGGCGCCAGGCCCCAACGAGCCTTTAGTTTCAGTCGCTTTTAGCACATCGAGGACTAGCACGAGCACCGAGCAGCAACCGAAAGCAGCGAGGGGCAGGAAGCAGCCACGCATTGCACGCACTCCCACCACTGTGGTGCTGCCTTCCTCGTCCCTGTAGGGAAGACTAGGGGAGACCTCCAGCGCACTCACTGCCACCTTTCATGAAAGAACTTAAGCTCTTAGTGCCCTCTAGAGACTGTCCAGCCTGTCCATCTAGCAGCTGGGACATGTCACTTCCAGCCGGCTGGAGTTCAAGCATCCATTGCAGGGTGGGATTCACCTGGTCTGCCTGAGCACACCTGCCTCGGCTGTCCCATGCTCCCAGTGCTGTGCCATGCTCCCTTGGCTGTCCCAAGAGGCCACGTGCTGCCAGCTCTCCTGCGACTCCTTACCCGTGTGCGGTCTTCAATGCTGTAAATCCGCAGCTGCATGGGGATGTTGAAGCTGTGCAAGAAGTTGCCTCCAAAAACCAGTGTGTCCATGGGAGTGTACACAGCATGGATCCAACCTTGGAGAGAAAGGGCAGCTTGAAGAGTCCCGAGTAACCAAGGTCAAGGTCTCACAAGTGACACCTATTCCTATTCAGCCCCTTTGCAATCTCTTAAAAACTGATCTTCAGAGCAGAGCTGTCAGTTTGGCACAACCTCCGTGCTCCTTGGCCAAGCCTACCCTGATAATTACCCTTTTTAATCACATTCTCATAGATATTTGGATAACAGCCCATTCTCTGACCTAAACCAACCTGCTTGTGTGGAAGGTCGTAGGCTACTGTTAACACAGGGATGAGCTACTGACCCCTCATTACATCAGTTAGCACTAGCAGGAGCCACGTGCTGGGTTGCTGCCCTCTTTGAGGAGGGCAAATATTGCTGTGTCACTCTCCCCAGCAGCAGTGCCCACCCTCCTAAAGGTGTATTTGGTATCACCATCGAATTACTCAAAAAGAAGCTCTTTACCTCAACCCCTGCCAACATTTTCACCATGAGCAGGAAGGAATGCAAGAACCTCACAGTTACTTCATGAGGAGTCACGCACTCAGTGCTGGACTCTGCCTCGTTTAAGTTTAGCTTGATAATCTAGTAAGTCTAACTAGACTCCCTCTACGGGGAATGGGGCAAGACTGGCACCTACAGGAGGTGATTCAACTGAAGAAGTTAAAAACAAAACCCGAAATCAACAAAAATCCAAATTCAATCATCAAATACCTCAAAATATGTTTTTTCTCTTTTTTTTCCCCCCTTCTATATGAAAGGCTAAGCAGTGCAGCTCAATATTTGGTAAGCTCCAGGGTGAGCTTTCTTAGGGCAAGGCCACTCAATTCAACAGAAGCATCAGTTGTGGTGGTGGACTTGAGTAACTCTCACGCAATCCCTGTATTTTCAGAAGGACGTGTGACAACACAAACTATCTCACCTTGTTCCCTAAACACATGCACTGCATCCCTTGTTTCACAGACAACCTGCATGTAATTCTGTGGAGGTTTTATAGCAGACCAAGGAAGCAGAGGAGCTGCACTGCTTTGGGCCAGCCTGTCCTCAGTGGGCACTGCTCTAAACACAAGCACGACAGGCTCTGCAGGAGCTACTGATCAAGCACCATGCGAGCCAGAGCTTTGCTGTCACTAGGGCTGAATGTGCAGTGCCACAACAGCCATGTTTTGGAAGCCACATCACATCTGTGTCTCACAGTTCCTCATGAAGCAGAAAGCTAAGGGAAATATTCGTCCTGTGCCGATTTTGCTGATATCCCAGAAGTTTCGCCTCTCACCGCTATCCGGGCAAAGGCCAAGAGACGACTGTCCAACCTGCTGTACCTGAGGGGATGACAAACGTGTAGCCCTGCTTGAGCTCAATTCGCTGGCACTCGGACACTCTGTCCCCAAGAAAGATGTCTCCCTGCTTTCCGGAGAGAAGCCAGTTTTCATAGAGCTCCAGATTCTGGGGCGTAGGCGGAATCAGCCAGAAGATCTGCGAGGAAAGACAACATACTGAAGTCAGAGCACATTTAGCAGCTACTGACCACCCTCCTGCTTCCCCCCAAACCTGTTCTGCTGCTCTCCAAACAGGCAGATGCCCTTCTCCCCACCCCACAGCAGATGCAAGCCTGCAGTGACTTCTTGTAGAGCAAACCGAACAGGTATCCCAGTTGGAAGCAAGCTGCTGAAGGGCTTTCCCAACACATTGAGCACCACGTAGAGTCTTGAGCTTGGGAAGCTCCGTACGGTGCTATTGCTAAGAGCAATGTCAGGAGACATAAAGCCCACTGAAGACTCCAGAGTATTAGGCAAACAAAGGAGATATTTACTGACGTGTTTTAGGAACGCTGCCATGTTATTAAAAGCTGCAGCTGAGCTAGAGATTTGCATGTGCCGGGCTCCACAAACCACGAGTGACAGGGAGACATCCACCTCCTGACTAGGCTCTTAAAAGATGGACTAATGGGGTCTCTGAAGTGAATGCACTTGAGCCACCTGCAGAGTCACTGAGGTGGCCTGGCAGTGTGAGGAGTTGAGATACAGCTCCTTTGCAAGGAGAGGAGCACAGGGAGAAGGGAAAAAGAGAAAAAAAAAATGCAAATACACCCCACCACAAACACACACATCACACACCCAAACGGAAAGATGAGATGCAGCAATCACCCAGAACTCAGTCAGAGAGAGGGGCAAGTTTTTTCTCCTGAAGATCTGTCCTGATTATGGAGGAAGCTCACCCAGGCACTCAGCTTTGACTGGACAGATCTTCTACACAGCTGCAAGCAAGAAGACTCAAATCTTGAAGACTGCCCATGACTTCCTTTCTCAGAAGGTATCCAGTCACCACAAATCCAGAGTCAAAGGTAGCTTTTTGCCTTCCTGCTCCCTTCCAGCCTGGTCCCTTGGTAAGTGCAGTCCTAGATGGCTCAGAGCTTTAACCTGGCCTCTTCCAGTTGCTCCTAAGTCAGTAGCACAGTGCATTTATTGGGCGAGAGGGGGCTGCTTTTGGCAAATTCTGCACTACAGGGCACTTTCCTCCACACCAGCTTTTGCTGAGCAGCTCCTAGGGGATTTTATGGCCAATTTACTGTGAGCTTTGCTGCACTACTCCCCTGAACAGCAGCACAGAGTTTCCTTGACTGCTGCACCTGACAACAGCCGCCCCCAAAAGCTCAAGTGGGAGCTTTCCACACAGTTATTACAGTGGCGAAGCTGAAGCAGAGATTCAATCCATACTGAGGGGTGTAGCCCTATGACAGGGGTCAGCAGGGATTCACAGGAACCCATTTCCCTCTGCTCAGCCCGGCCAGGCTGGCTGAACACAGCAAATTGCTGCAGCTCAGCCAGGCAGTAACTTCCTCATAGATGCTTGCAGCTGTGTAGATGTACCCAAAAGGGCTGAAGTTTGGGGATAAAAATAGTTGCTGTAGCAAACGTCTAGGAGCCACCATGTGGCCATACGTTGGTGAGTCCTGTCCAACTCTGTTCCCCTCCTGAAACAAAGTGAGAACACTAAAAATCACTAGAACCAGGGATTGCTGCAAAGCGTCCCGGGAATCTCCCTGGCTGCTGGCAAACGAGATGCTCTCCCTTCTTCTACTTGGAGTTTTATACATGCAAGCTCCCTCCGCATCCGAAGTCCACAGAGTTTTTTCCAGCCTGGAATTCATGTTAGGTCTCATGCTCTGAACACAACCGTGCTCCCTAGCGAGGCAGGAGCTGAGGTATTAGCTAAGTCCTCAAGGGTTACAGCCCCCGAGCTGCTCTAAACCTGCTGCCTGGAGGTTATGAGAACAAATGCACCATCCCCACCTGTAAGAAAGCCTCGAGGTGCAATTCACTCTGCCTAAGGGCAGATACCTGCCCAGATTCCCTTCCAGACAGACTGCTTCCAAGTCAGACCCCAGTACGACACCAACACAGTTGAAGTTGGAGTTACCTGACACACACAAGCAGATTCCTATACAATCATAGCTGGAAATCACCAGTCAGGGAGCTAACACAGCCCTTGGATGAAAGCTGTGTCCATGTGCCACAACTCAATGGAGTCTAGGGCTCAGCTTTTGTATTTTGGGACAGGCTTGGTTACTCCAGCCCAGAAGCTCACATCTGAGTGAGCTTTTCCCAAAACAAAACACACACCCCCCAAACCAACAACACCCCACACCCCAAAACCACTAAAAAAAGCCACCAAAAAAAACCAAAACTAAAAAAAGCAATCGACACCCAAAATGCTATGGGAGGAGGAGAGGGTTATACTGAGGCCCTGCTTCACCAAGAGCTGGTCAGTCACGCAGCCAAGTGGCCTCTAGGAAGCCCAAAGCATGGTGTGAGGATGGTCACCCTACTCTTCATTCAAACTTTCGGAAGGTTGCCTGGCACCATCTCTACAGCACGGGGTTTCAGTTAGAGCTTGGTGGACATCTGACAGTCTGAACTGCTTCCAAGCAGCAGAGGTGAACAAGTTGAGGGCAGAAAGACTCCCATTCGCTGTCAAGGACCTGCATTTTCAAAGGATCTGCAAATAAAGATACTGAAACCCATTCTCCTAAAGCATCTGTAGTTGCCCCAACAGGGCCTGTCCTCCTACCTTTCCCCCTCGGTGAATATGGTACCACACAGAAGTGCCACCAAAGTCCACATGAAAATCTGTGTAGCACCCCTTGACGCTCATCAAACAGTACCTGAGGGAAAACAAGGAGAAGACAGGAAGGTGTATGTGAGTAAAAGGAGTGGTGGCTCCCTTTTGGGGTAGATATAGCATATTCAAGGGAATGGGCTGCTTACCCCCAGCCCAACAGCTCAGAGCAGCACCAGACGCCAAGGACTGCAGCGCTGCAGGGAGGTGGAGATGCCCCGCAGGAGAGTTTGCATCCATACCACCTCCCCACGAGCAGACCCAGCCCCGGCCTCCTCACCCCCTCCTGCAGCTCTAGGCACCCAGCTGCCACAGGGCTGGCCTAGGGCGTACACGAGTAACACCCGAGAGCTACAGCAGCCCCTGATGACTCAACACGGGGAGCATCTCTAGCTTCCCGAAGGAGTAATCTGCTCCTAGAGGCTCAAGGATCACGCTGCCACAAACAGTGCTTGCCAGGGGCTTAAAATAACTAACTGCAGCGCCCTCCGCAAGGGTCACCCATCAAAATGAATAGAAATGACTGTTCCTCCCACTGCTCCCCATGTTGAGTGGCCACGATATTCCCTGCCATCACTGGACCAGTTCAGGAGGTCACTTACTTCTGCACTTTGGGATACTGCATCTCCAGGATAGCATTTGTAGACTCCGTCTGACTCTCCTTCAGGTGCCTGGGCCACATATTGTCAACCCAGTCAATCAAATCCACCTATAGAGGAAAGAGAGGAAGACATAAACATAAGCAGGACGGAAACTGCTCCCTTTTGGCCCTTAAGCAGTCCAGGAAGCTTAAATCCCTGTTGCCTGCCCGGCCACCCCCCAGCTCATACGTGGCTGGGCACCCGCGAGCTGCAGGGTTGCAGCAGGCCCGCCAAAGCCACGATGGTGCTGTGCAGAGAGCACCAGGAGAGCCAGTCCAAAACACATCTGGAACAAAATGCAGGGCCGAGGAAGGAGGACACAAGCGGCCACAATATTCCCATCTGGCTGGCCCTGCACAACCCAGCAAGGCCTTGGTGTAATTCCAGACATCACATATTTAAGACCAGCTATTCTCATGCCAGTCACTGTGTATGAAGCCTCAGAACACAAGCGGGCAGCAGACAGCAGGGCAAGATGCCCAGCCTGGCACGGGGATGCTGCTCTTTACTCAAGGGCTGGCCAGGAGCTGCTCTGCAGCAGCCTTGCAGGAACCCTGTGCTGGGCACCACCTACCAGCAGGGCTATAACTTGCGAAACCTCGAGAGCCGCAGCAAAGAGGGGCCAGGTTCCCTCTGCAGCTAGGAGAGCTAAAGGAACAGACCCAACAGAGTTGCCCATTCCTCTCCTCTGACCGCAGTGGGAGCTCGGGTTGTCCAGTTCAGACATCCCACCTTCCTCACATTTTCAAATAGCCTCCCATACCATATCCAGGTCCCCCCTGCCCTTCCCATTCTGGCCTCCTCCACCTTCAGTGCTGCCCGAGTTAGGCCCTGCTGGAGTTTTCCAGCCAGCCACGTGTTCCGGCACGCTGCCCATACCCCTCATCTCCAACCACCCAGACTCTTTGGTTACAAGGGAGCTTGACTCCTGCTGCAACATACAGGAGAGGGTTCTGCAGCAAGCTTCACAGAAAAGAGGCCCAGACTGGATGACAGCCAAGGTCTAGGCAGACAGCAGAATCAGCTAACTGGGAGAGCCGGGGAGCCAGCGTCCCCAGCGCTCACCATGGCTGGGGACAAACTGGCCCCCTTTATTCAATTCAGGGCCTTGTTCAAACTCCAGGCCTGCTCTTGATTCCTGGCCAGAAGGAGCCAGTTGCTTCACTCTAATATTCCTCAGCAGTCACTTCCATTCTTCTAATTGCTGACAGACAGCAAGCACCACATCTCCAGAATTGAATATCTTTTAATTGTGGTAACTATAGCTGAGGGATGCCCAGGCTGAGGCCTGACTGCAAGATCAGCTACGGCAGATGAAGTGCAATGTGGAGGAAGGATCATCTCCAGCATTATCCGGAGCACGGACTTTCTGGGCTGAGCCCGTGAGTGTTACCAGTGGCCACTCTCCTCTTGCATTCAAGTGACAGACTGCACCTTGTGGATACAGGATCGGAATCACGAGGGACAGCACATCCCTGCAGAAGGGAGAGCTCTACTGACCGTAGCAGGTCTCTGCACCAGGTTCTCCAGCTTGGTGTGGCTGAATTCCAGGCTGATGACATTGTACAGTTTCTCTCGCTCAGCCTCCGGCGTTTCGTAGTAGCGTGCCCACTGTGCCATGGACATCTCAATGTCCCTCTGTGTGTTCACATCCATGACGTCCACCATGCGCCGACTCCCTGCCAGGAGAGACAGGCATCGCTGGAACTGTCCCTGCACAGAGCAGTACACCCCAAGGAGACGCTCCAGGAGACACGGTTCCTTCGCCAAAGCACCCTCTCCCCTTCCCCACCTAACACACCCAGGTAATGGCCTCTCTATAACTCCACCTTCTTCCGTACTTACATGGAAAGAAAAGCCATTTCAGGCCAAACTAGACTCTAAGAGCCATGATCCACTGACAAAGGAGGACAGCCCAGGTTCAACCAGCTGCAGAATGGGGGAGCAACCAAGCCAGACTTCCAGCTTTGATAAGTCCAAAGATTCACCCCATTTCCAGTTGGCCAGGGCACAACCGAGGTGGGCTGTAGTTCCGGAACAACGGGAGACACTTACCGACACACAGCCGCACATCGTTCACGCTGAAGTCCGGATCTGGCATCCTGCAGGACAAACACCTTGCTAAAAAACCAAGACACACCCCTGGTTGCAGACCATCCCCAGCTGTAATCCCTCAGCTAGCACCCTGAGGACAGCACTGTGCTCCCTGCTGCCTCTTGGATCCAAAAGCCTTGCCAGAAAGGGCAACCAGAGCCCTGGGGCACAGGCCTGGACTGAAGCTTGGGCTGAAACATCGGGTCAGCTTCCGGCTAGGGAAGGAAAGGTGATTTGGGAATGGATTATATCACCTCCAGAGCATGAGCTGTGGTACAGTGACCTCTGGCCTTGAGCTCTCACTGAGCTTTCAATCAGAGCTCTCATTTTAAAGACTGGTGGTGCAAGTTTTCCCAATATAAGGGCACTGCCAGACCAGTAAAAGCAGCGTATTTCACTGGCACAGCATAGCTACCCTGTTAGCGTTGGCATAGCGTGTACAAAACACTGCTGAATGGGAACTCGAGCAGCTCTTGACCCTTTGGGAAAGAATACAAACATGGGAGAAATTCAGTTTCATCCGCATCGTGACCCTCAGTACCAGACCTACACCTTCCCAAATCACTTCACAGCTTTAAGGAATCCTGGCACAACCTCCTGCCTGATTTACCAGGCTACGGTAAAGCTGTAGGCATTGGATTTGGGGGAGAAAAAAAAAAAAAAAAAAAAGACTAGCAAAAATAGGATGAGCGGGAGATGCTTTTCTCTGTTCACACTAAGAAGGTGGGCAGGACACAGTCATATCGGCTGGACAGAGCAGAGATCCAGCTACCAGGATCAGACACCAGCACTGTGGGAAAATTGAGAATCCAGGCTGGAGCCAACCACGTGTTTGTGCCCGACACTTACTTTATCCCCAAGCCATCGGAGCTCCTGAAAATGAGAGGATCTCTCAGGCCACCTCGCTGGATGTATTCAACTGTGAAGTCTAGTGCAGGGAGAAAGAAGCAGAGAGGTGTTAGGGAAGGCTCTTTTAGAGGATATAGATAAACTGAGGTTAGACAGAATCCATGGAAGTCTCTAGTCCAACGCTGCCTCCACCAGACTAACTTCAGAGGCAGATCAGATTGTTCAGGGCCCTGTTCAGTCGAGAACCTTCTTGTATCTTTGCAGCAAACCTAAATGTTCAATGGCAGAATACAAGACCCTGCTCTCCTTCTTTGGAGATCCTGGAAGTCCTCTGTGCTAGTTTTGCAAGTGGCAAGGTGTGTAGTACTGACAACCCTGAGACGAGCACACCAGGAACGACGGGTCTGCTCCAACGGGCTGTGCCAGACAGGGTGACAGCGAGGCTTTTGGTCCTCATTTCCCTTGGAGGCTCATGATTTAGCCAGGGAGATCTTAAAGATCTCCTCCCTCACGGTAAATCCTCATGAGGGTTGCATGAGGAAAAGCCTTTCCACCGAGCTGTATGTGTGGTGAAAGGAAGGGGAAGATCCCACATAGCCCAAGTGGAGTAGAGCAGACACATGGCTGCAATTACAGGTGCTGACCCAGGCAAACGCTCCCATTCCTGGCTGCCACGTGTGCCAACAAACCTGCCACGCTGCAGCCGGGCTCACGCCACGCCGCGCGGCTTCCCTTCCAGGCTGTCTCCCGCCATGCCCCCTGTCACCAGTCCCCTGGCCCAAGGGCATAGCAGCTTCGAGCCACTCCTCCATCAGAGTGCTCCACATTGCCTCCAGCTGCTTGGGGACTGGAATGGGGCTTGGAGGGGAGCAAGCACAGGTGGCCCTTTCCTCTAAGGACTCAGGGAAAGGGCATCTCGCACCCCCCTTCTTCACTGCAGATGCAGCTAACCACATCAGCTGGCTGGTGACAGACACCAGAAGCCTATGCTGCCCCACAACAGCCCCAGCGGGGGCAAGCACCAACCTTTGCCTTCCATGAAGACCACGAAGGTGGAGTTAAACTTGTTGGTGGAGAGCTTTTCCTCGAGGTCAAACGTCCTCTTCCCTTCGATTTCATCATCGGAGATTCCATCATCCTCGTAACGTCGCCTCATGGTGCCACGCTGAGGAGAGAGCAAAACATGAGGGGAAGAGCTATGGACCAGGAGGAAGCCATCCATCTGAAGAACCTCATCTCAACCTTGCACGGCTTGGCCAAGGGCTTGGCCTGGGTGCCACCTAGCAGCAGGCAGTGCTGGGAAGCCTCCAGGAGGAGAAAAGGGACACTCCTGCATTATTTTATCTCCTCGGCCTCCTGCTCAGGGAGCACTGTTGGTATTAGCCTGAGACATACAAGACAAGACCTAGTTAAGTGTTCTTGGTCCCAAATATAGTATTGAAACAGCAGATTTCCTTCTCATAGAATCAACACGCAGAGCAGTATGGGAGAACATAATTCAATCATAGTAAGTGTTAACCATAGCACAGCAACACAGGAGACATTTCAATAAAATTGGGGCAAAAGAACAACTATCAGATTTTTTTATTAAACAAGTCCATCAGTATCACTGCATTGAAGGTAAAGCTTATGAACTTAAATCCCAAGTGATAAAGAAAGGGTTTCATGATAGAGAGGATTCTCCAGCACTCACCTTTGTCCATGCTTGCACTAAAAAAGTGGATCTATTCCCTCCTGTGTGTGTGTGTGTGGGGGGGGAACAACCCCGTTCCTAAAGGGGCTTGTAACTACATCTGTACAGCTATATCTGTATTTAGATTCCTGACAGACATCCCTATTCTAGGATAGCAGATCTGCAAGAAATTACTGTTCCCAGATGGTAGTCACCCCTCCAGAGACTGACCCTATTCTGGAAGAGCAGTTCTGAGCACTGCTCCCTCACTCTCCTCTGATAAAAATCAACCGGGTCTGAATTAGCCAAGCTGATTTCCCCCCAGTTAGGGCAGTTCCCATTCCAGGGTGTTCACATCCCCTGCTCCAACAGCAGACAGCCCTGGGATGGAAGGTGCTGAAACAGCCACCAGCACATGAGGGCTGGAAACTGGCACCTACCATCAGCCCAGCACATTGCAGAGCTGGTAACAGGGTCACGTCCCCCCCAGTGACGTCGGTCCCGGGCCCAGCGCTCGGGCAGGGCTCAGTCGCAGCTCCCCATGTCATGCTAATGCTCATGGTTGTCACTGGTGTGACCAGAGCACACGTTGCATTGCAGTCCCTGCGAGACATCCTGCCGCAGCACGTTGGAGCGGAGCCACGCGTCCTGCATTCCTACAGGTTCATTTTGAGCACCTTTACCTCATTTCTTCCCTACTTCCAGGTCTCCTGGAAAAGTGGCCTTTCCTGGGAAACGGCCTGAATCACAGACAGCTCACTCCACGGCAGCAAGCTGCAGACTTCCTCCTGGAGCTCAGGCCTATCCTTGATGGCCGCGCCGCACTCACCTCCACCTTCCCTGCCCAGCAATGGACAGGGCTGGCTCTGTCCATGTGAGATCCCACAGAAGGAACAGATCCACCCAGGCGTGGGAGAAGGGAGATTTCATCCTGCTCCACCAAAGGCAGCCCGGTCCTGCCTGCCAACACGCTCTCCTCAATCACATTCCTCCCATTAACTCGGCCCACCCACCTGCTTCTCCAGCCCATCACACACTGCTACAGAGCTGGAATCACAAACAAACCTGGGATATCTTCCCATGAGTTCCAGCCTGGCACTAGCCACCTGGCAGCCTGATCACCACACTGCTCCACTGTTGCTCTCCCTGCTCTATTCAGACAGCGCTGTGAAAACAGAAGGGGTTTCCTAATGTGGATGCACGAATTTTGAGATGCCTCTTTGAAGCATTAAAAGCCCAGGAGCGTGTGGGACGGCCCCCTTGCTGTCACTTGTCACCGGTGTCCAAAGGGATCAATTCACCAGCTGCTTCTCTCCCATCGGGGCAAAGGAGCCCCCCCTCTCCCTGCTGTTAACACCTCATTATCGTGGCTTGTCACCCCCGCCCAGAGGCAGAGCCACCTTAGCTGCAAGGTACAAAAACAGCCCGTTGTCCCTGACAAGGGGACGCTCTGAATATCCCCAAAAAAGTGGTCTCAGATGTTTCTGAAGGGCCCCAGACGATTAAGCAGTCTGGGAAACGGGCATATGTTCGAATGCTTTCCTCTTAAGCCACTTGTTAACACGGATAGCAAAGAGGAGCACTTTCCTACAGCAAAGATTTTTAATGACTTGGTGAGCTAAAGCTCACTTTACCCATTGGCTTTTTCAGATCCACGTGGATATATTTCTGACTGCGCCTAAAAAGCAGAGGCAAAGGGATGTGCCAGCAGCTGAAGCAAGGCCACGCTTTCATTGGGAGCCCAAAATGTCACACATTTAGGGCCAGCTTGTACACCCTAATTCACAGGGGAGACAACTTGCTATGACCAGTACCCGCAGCCAGCGCAGCTCTTGGGTGCTCCGGCCACGGCCACCACCGGGCACAGCCCCAAATCTCCCAAATCCTCCCTGGCTCCCAGCCTGGCTCCTTCTAGGGGATGTGCCACAGCTTTAAGCTAACGGGGCAAAAGTGTTACCGGGAGAAGAGCACACGGCTCTTTCAGAGAGGAGGCTGGGATCATCTTATAAATCACTTTTCCCTGAAAATCACCCAATCCTTTAGCACTCGGCTGAGCTTTGAGCCGCCGGCACCCCCCTGCACCGCGTTTGGGGATGGTTGCTGGTTAGTTCCCGGTGCTCTCTAGGCAAAGGGCAGCCCCCGAGCCCTGCAGCTCACCTCTGTGCCGGCAGCCCCAGAGCCGGCGCTCCAAAGCGGCTGCTTGCAAGGGATGGGGCTGGCGATGACCATGGTGGGAGAGGAGGGGCAGGAACTCCACCGCAGTAGCCAGCTTGGTTGCCTTGGACACCCTGTGGTGTACATTTATATACCCCTATAGGGCAGGCGGAGCTGTGCTGGCTCCACCTTTTGCAGGGGGAGGAACCTAAACATCCAACCCGAGTGGATCTCAGCTCCTGTTAACCCTCTGGTACCTTGTTTGGCACCCAGGCAGGGCTGCAGAGGCAGCTCGGAGCCCTGGGAGCCGGGGCGCAGCGAGGTGCATACGGACCATCCGCGCACGGTGTCTCCAGCCGAGCACACGCCTGGAAGGTGCAGTTCTCCCGCGAAAGCCACCTGCAGATCCGTAGCCTTGGAAGCAACGCTCCCCAAACCAACGCGAGCCTGGCGCATCCCGGCTCCATACGCACCCAGGGATCCCCCCCTTGCCTCAGCAGCCCAGCTAGGTGGCTCCATCCACCACAGCTGCGGGCCCGAGACACCAGCCACCTCGGGGCAAAGGAGCTAGGGCAGCTCCTGCTAGGGCAGCTCCTACAGCCAGGCACACAGCAGCTGCTGGAGACTGCCCAAAGGGTCTTGGCAGAGATCTTGTTCCTTGCTAAGACACACCAGGAAAGCCCAGGGCACACTGAGCTTGGACGAGCATCCCAAGAGCCTCTCCCGTGACCAGCTGTTCACTCACCTGGCTCTGAGGGAGCTGGGCCTGTTCAGTCTGGGGAAGAGAAGGCTGAGAGGGGACCTGATCAGTGTCTATAAGTACCTCAAGGGGAGCAATGAGGAGGATAGTGCTGCCTCTTTTCAGTGGTGGCCACTGATAGAATTAAGGGAAATGGCCAGAAACTGAAGCATCCAAAGTTCCACAAGAACTTAAGGAAAAATTTCTTAACAGTGAGGGTGACAGAGCACTGGAACAGACTGCCCAGAGAGGTTGTGGAGTCTCCTTCTCTGGAGATCTTCCAAACCCACTTGAACGCAGTCCTGTGCAATGTGCTCTAAGGTGATCCTGCGTGTGCAGGGGTTGGACTAGATGACCTCTAGAGGTCCCTTCCAACCTTAAGCATTCTGTGATTCTGTGATTCCTGAGCCCACAGCAGTGCGCCCCAGCGCGCAGTTCACACGGCCTGGGCACTGCAGCTTCAGCTGCTCTGCAAACAGCCGGGCGGCAGCAAACTGCCAGGCCAAAGCACAGCCTGGGCTTTGACTCGCTGCCTTACTCAGACACTCACGTTTAGTCATTGGGTCTGGGGAAGAGTCGCTCTATCCGCTTCCCTGGGAAGCCATTCTGGCGCAAAAACCTCAAGAGATTAAGCAATAGCCTGGCCAGTTCCTTTAGCTGGACAAAGCCAGAGCCTCCATAACCTCTACTGGATTCCCAGGCTAGATACGGGAATTTCAGGACTCCTAGTTCAGTTGCACGACAGCGGCTACTAAATGGGGCGCAACCACAGACACGTCGCATCTGACCGCGTGACCTTGGGAGACCCAGGCTGAGACGCATCTTTAGCCACGATGGTGACCACCAGCTGCACCCTGGTTCCTAGCAGATACTTGCCACAGCAAGCAGAGCTTTGGACCTGCTCAGGGCCTTTGCTCAAGGCCACCAGAAGCCTGAAGAAGTGGGTAGCAGCAAGGCATGGCAGCACTGGGACATACCCTTAGGTTGAGCTAATACTCCCAGGGTTCCTTAACACAAGGCACAAGGGCAGAAATTAGGTTGTGCTACCCGAGTTGCTCCTGAACCTTCTCCTCCAGCTCCCGTCAGGACAGGAGAAACAGGGCAGCGCATAGAGGTTTTCTGGGGTTCAAGTCCAGCTAGGGCCACGACCGAGCAGCAGCCTTCGGGAACCTGCTCCAGATGGGAGCTCCGAGCTCTAAACCGGCACCGCTTCGACCTGGCAATTCAACCACACGTTTGCTCTGTGTCGGTTAATCCAAGCGCTAATGATACCATCAAGGACAGAGCTCACTCTCCCCGCTATGCTACTTGCCCAGGGAACATGCAATGAATAACCCCACTGCTTACTTGGGCAATACCCGAGGGCTGCGCGACCGGGAAGGAACACGACGCGTTTTGGAGGACGCCGCTCCTGCCGCACGTTCCCCCATCAGCTACTGCGTCTCCTCTCGAGGCCGACTGCCTTGCCTTGTTCCCGTGGGCAGGGAAGGGCCTTTCCTCCCAACACTATGAAGGAGGAAAGGATGCCAGGCATGGCTGCGGACCCACAACCCGAGGAATTCCCATCAGTCACACAATGCCGGCCAGCCGTGGCGCTTTC